TATATAGTAAAAGAAAAGGTATCAAGAAATTGAAAAATACTACGTAATTGTATTAAAACTTCTTGATAAGAGTGCATGCGATCTTATCACAGCACAAATTCTCGCAAAAAGTATCTTATCTTATCTAGGGCGGTGGCTTCTTGCGATTATACAATATATTCTTAGATAAACTGCTTGCAGTTGTCTTCATCAACTTTACAAACTTAACTGTAGCCATTTTCATATGGAAAATTCATTCTCATTTTTTACCATAAACTAAAGTCGTAGTGAATTTCTATCCATATTTGCTTGGCTAATCATTTTTCGCCAGATGCCATAGAGTTAATTATATAACGGTCATGGTATAACGGCAAGCATCAATCATATTAAATAGGAAGACGTCTTCATCTATGGCATAAGGTCAAAGCCATCAGACCTCTGCACATTTTCCGACTTTAAGCAGTCAAAAGCCAAAATAAGAGAGAAAAAAATGTTAGTTCGCAACTAGCTTGAACCCGGCGACTTGCATTAATCATTAATAATACAAACGCCCCCGTTTGCCGCCAGTCAGTTGCTTTCAAACTTTCACTGGCCTTGGACAAATAGTGAGCAAACATCGAATGTCATGCTACGAACGCCCCCATCCCTCCAGCATAATAAATCGCAGAGAAACAGTGACAATTGTTACAGTTCTTTCCGCTGCATCTGCAGCAAACAAATGTCAAGTGTTGTTGCAGTTATAGTTGCAGCTGTTGCTGCTGCATAAATCATTTGAAAAGGTCAAAGTGCACACGCCTACGTGGCATGTTGCTGCCAGCCACAAGCAGTGGCACACACATGGCAGCCCGATGTCTGCTGCAATTGTCAAGTCACTGTTGCTGCTGCTGCTGCTGCTGTGACATGATTTATTCATGCCAGTAACTCGAAGTCGTCGCTTTTGCTTTTGCTTTTGCTGTTGCTGTAGCTGGCGACCCACTTTAGCGCTGGCTGAAACTAACTGCAGAGCTAATCGAAGGCCGCTGGCTTATCACTAGCTGGCTCTTATCACGAGGTGATACGATGGCTATCTACAGCTGTGACTTGTTACACTTATTTTCTGCAAAGTTGCTGACCAAAATACGACACGGAACCAACACTGACACTTTGACAGGCATTGTTGCCGTGGCTGTTGCTTTGTGTGGGGCTGCTGCCATTGAACTTGAACTTTGGATTGTTACGGTCTGCAAATTGCAAGCAATAAATTCAGCGAAACAGCAAACAAGAACTCTGACAGTCAAATTAAAGTTGGCAATTTTTATTTTGTTGTTGCTGTGGCAGTTGGCTGCCGTTGCTTGTGGAGTTGTTTAGCATATGCAACCCAGCAAAAGCCGACTTTCCATGAGCCACTCACTCTCTTTTTTCCCTCCCTCTCTCACTCGGACTCTCACTCTTTCTCTCACCCTCTCCCTTTAATTTTTTGCTTGCTGCTAATATTGCCCGTCGATGCGTATCGCATCGCTTAACGCTTCGTTGCCGTCGCAGTGTGCTAATGAAGTGCAGCAGCAGCAGCAGAAGCAGCAGCAGCAGCAGCAACAGCAGCAGCAGCAACAACAACAGCAGCAGGAGCAACAACTGCAACATTAGCCACAATTGTAGTCAGTTAGCCCAAGGCAAACTTACGCAGCTCGAGAGCAGCTTCAAATTGCTGTGCTGCAGGCAAAAGTTGCAAGCAAATATGGGTTGCTGCCACTGTTGCTTTTCAACTTTATGTTATTATTGTGCCAAACTGTTGATTTTGTTGCTTGTTGCGTATTTTGCTCGTATTTTTATTGTAAATGCAGTTCTCTTTCAATGTTGATCCCGCAACTGAAGCTAAAGACTTATTGTTCCTAGTTCGTCTAATAGTTTAGAAAGTTTTTTTGCTGAAGAGTCTGGAGTCTACTCTAAAAAGACGTCTTTAAAACGCTCCTGCCCTCTAATTCTGCTAACATTTACTTTATCTTTAAATTAGGCAGCAGACGTTGACTAATTAAATTATATTTTGCACGCTGCAATACGTGCGGCAAGCGTGCGGCAAAGACACTTTCGCACTGTCTGCCCCATTTCTGTGGCATTTCTGTCACTTTACGAAACACTGTTTTTTAGCCACACACATTACAATCAGCAGATTTAAATTAAAAGCCACGTACGATTCGCAGTTCTCAGTGTCAGGATCCTAGGTAACCCTTTTGGTGGCCACAAAAAACTCTTGCCAACTTTTCACATTATTTCGTGGTAGTATTGTGCAGCCACCTCACGTAGTGGTTACAAACATAAAAATTGATTACGGTAAGTATGAGTAACGTGACGAGCCTGCAACAATGCCACACACAACGAGGTGCTTCATTGAAACAGGATATACATACATATACATATACATATATATACATACATATGTATAAATACATATATAGAACTAAAGCCCACTCTTCCAAAATTTCAATAGAGTTCTGTCGAAATTTTGACTGGCAATGCTCCAAAGTTGGGCAGAGCAATTAAAGTGAATTATCAAGCAATTTATACAAAAATTGGCTTTTGTGGCAGTAAATGGGCGGTGTGGGGATTGAGGGTGGCCTACCACAGTGAACAGTAAAAAGTCGCATTTAGAAAATGAGCTCAGCCTCAGTTCAGCGGCCAATTGAAGTGCCGTCCTTGAACTCTGTGTAAACCAGTTAACTTATAGAAGCGGGCAGTAGTTTTTGCTTTTGCTTTTCGATTCGCTTCTGTTAACTTATTTTTGCATTTAAAGTTGCTGTTGCTGCTGCTTTTATTGTTGTTGTTGTTGTTGTTGCTGCTGATGTTGAGCGTGTCGACTTGACTTAATTTGCATAAGCGCAACGCAAATTAAAATGTGGAACGTGTTAGATGCCTATCAATAAACGAATCATAGGCACGTAAGACGGTAGACGGTAGACTGTAGACTGTAGTCTGCAGATACGAGTAGTTTAATAAGTAACTACGATAGCATTTAGTCAGCTTCAGTTAGCTTTCGATAAATGCATGGTCTTCCTACTTGTTTTTTAATTGAAAGAGACAAAAACGGGGCGTAACTCTGTGCCGATAGCCAAGTAACTGCGATGATATCATGCATTCAACATTATATTATTTTATTTGTATGCATGATTAAATTTTCTATAAAATACCAGCATGCCAATGCTAATGCTATTTCATTAACAGTCGGATTAATTTGTGAAGAACATCGAATGAATTCTAAGAAAATTACATTCGCCTTAAATAAATGTGATTCAGATTCGACAGTCATTCAAAGCAGTTGAAAACTATCGAGAAATATTGTAAATTTTAATTAAATTACTAAATCACGGCTAGACTGAAAGGTGAACTATATTGTAAAAGCTTCTACTCGAATATTTTCTTATAGTTTTGTAGAGTTACATATAAAAATTAAAATGGGTTAACGAAAGAAAAAATTATTTAAAAGCTGAAAATATATAAGTAGTTTTTCAGTTATTACACATGTCCTTCTACAATCTTCAGACACAGAGCTTAATCAAGTGTTAAAACTTATTAATCTCTCTCTTAATCTCTCTTTATGTACATATATACTGATATGCATTTGATAAATGATTGTTCCGGCACAACTTCGTATCCAAGTTCAAACAGCAATTGAAGCTAATGAATGAAAGCACTCAACATGTTCGCCAAGTCAATTACTCGAATAAGTTCAACTGCCAGTGCAACCCACTGGGATAAGTTGAGTTCATTATGCATTTCTTTGCCCCATCTCGAGACGTATGCAACTCGCTCATTCACTCGGTTTCTATTGATGCCACTTTTACAGCTTCTGCTTCCGCTTGCTACCCGTCGAATGCCATCCATCCAGTCTGGCCAGCAAATTGCAATTACAACTTCCGCACTGAGTCATTTCGCTTACACATCTAAGATATCTATATATACATATATATATATTTTTTTTTTCTTTACCAACTCTAATGGCGCTCATTAGCTTGATGTGTAGTTAGTCGAATGCTGCTCTTCTCTCCAACGAGTTTACGCGCTTAAAAATGCTGACAAAACGAACCCCTCCAAAAACCAAAAAAAAAAAAAAACAATCACTTGGGCTTCAGTCACGTCGCTTCATAAAAATATTTCCTGGCAACCAAAACAGTTGAGCAGCTAGTTGCCTAGCTGCCTAGCTGCAGGCTGTGTTGTGGCACTGGTTCTAATGATTGTTTATGACACAGGTGCCTGGTCACAGTTGAGACTGACAAAAAGACAACCGAGCCCAGGCGAGTCGAGCATTGTTGGGGCGATGTTTGAGGCACGTTCTGCTGCAAAGATTTTAAAGCTGCGCCTAAAGGCTCCGGCCAGAGGAGTCATGAGTCACCCGCGTGAGTCCAGGCCAGACAGTTATTGCAGCGTCAGTTCTTGCCTTTTGCAATACCCTGTTAATGCAGTTTTAATCGAGTCACTCAGCAGCAACTTTCAACTTAATTTTATTAAAGGATCTAACAGGTCGCATTGAATAAATCCCTTTAGAAATGAATAATGCGTTTTTCCATGAATATGTGAAAATCCGAAAATCACTTATCTGTTCAGTAAAATTATTCTCTGCGAAGAACTTAGAAAACTTTAATACTTGAAGGGAAGCAGCGTTGTAAATTTTAAATTTCAAATTAGTATTACTATTCATATTTTACACCAATATTTTTGTTTAACATTTTTAATTCTTTGCGTATGATTAGATAGACAAGTTTTATATATATAATATGACAGACATATGACGAAGCTGCTTACACAGTATGTGCTGGTCGGGCAAGCTCGACTAGGGTAGGCTTATTTGCTGTTACTTTTGTGGTTTGCCGAGAAGCAACTTGCATATCAAACAGAACTTGAAATGCGCTGCACGCGCTGCGACGAGCAGGCACTGGTGTCGTGGTGCAGTGGTGCGGGGGCTAGGTCGTGGAAAGAAGCCACTCAATTGTGATGATAAATTATCGATGGAGCAACTTAGTAACCAAGCACCTACTCTCTCTCATCCTCAGGCCCATGTGGTTTCTGCTTTTGAGCAGTCGCTGTCAAATATGACGAATCGACTGCAGCAGCTGACGGCGACGGCGGAGCGCAAGGATGGCGAACTGACGGACATGCGACAGACGATTGAGCTGCTGCGCAAGCAGTCCATCCAGGCGGGCCTGACCACCGCCCATATGCAGAGCATGGGTGTCCAGACGCAGGGCCAGTCCCAAAATGAGCTAATGCTCATGCAACAGAAGCCGCCAACGGGCAACACGCGCAGCAATCACAGTCTCAATTCCCATCCAAATCCCAATTCAAATCCAAATGGAAATGGCATGGGTTTGGGTGTAGGCGTGGGCGTGGGAGTTGGCATGCAGCGACAGCATAGCACGGATTCAATGTGCTCGCTGAACTCGATCAGTTCGGGCTGCTCGGCGGCGCAGGACAAGAACAAGGCGAACCAGAAGAAGAAGGGCTGGCTCCGCAGCAGCTTCACCAAGGCCTTCTCGCGCAATGCGAAGATCTCGAAGACTAGTCGCCATGCGGGACAGCATCATCAGCATGCGCATCAGGCGGAGCACGGCTCCAGCAAGCAATCCTCGCTAACAAACGGACATGGTGAGGCATTGGGCTTGGCTGCTCTGGCCACACAGCCGGCACCTCCGCTGCCCGTGGCGCATACGAGCAGCAAGCAGAGTAGTCCGGCAAAAACGGTCACACTGATCGACAATGCAAAACCGATCGATGCCATCGATCATGAGGAACACCAAGTGGTCGATGATCTAAAGAAGCAGCTGCGCGAAAAGGATTTAGTTCTGACTGACATACGCCTGGAGGCGCTCAGTTCCGCGTCGCAGCTGGAGAGCCTGAAGGATATGATGAACAGGATGCGCGCCGAGATGATGTCACTCAAACAGAACAACGAACGACTCCAGAAACTGGTCACCACACGCTCCCTTGCCGGCTCCGAGGCGAGCCTGGGCCAGGCCATCAGTCCAAATGGTTCGCTGGGCGGTGGTGGTGGTGGTGGTTCGGATGCCTCCAGACGTTACTCGCTGGCGGATGGTAATGCCCGACCACCCATGGAGCTGCCGCCACGTCTCACCGAGGAGCTGGAGGAGGAAGTGCCTGCCACGGAGCCACCACCACCGCCAGCGCCATCCAGTACAGCGCCCGTTGCACCACTCAGTCCCAATACACACATTGATTTGACGCCACCACCACCGGCACTGGAGGCGTCACAGCTGAGCAGTCCGGTGCATATGAACAGCGCCGTCGTCGTCGAGGAGCTGCCGGATGTGTGTGATGGGAAGAAGATTGCGATTGCCTGCTATCTGGGCCAGCCCGAATCCTTTGTCAAGTACTGCGAGGAGTTGCTCGAACTGGACGACTTCTATGCGAATGGCGCCATCATAGCCAGCCACGAGGCGGAACAGGATCATGCACAGGCGCAGGCACAGGCCCAGGCCCAATCTCAAGCGACTTCCTTTAATAATGCAGCCAACTGCAATGAGTTCATCATTGCCTGCACTTATATATCGGGCAAGACGACCTGGCAGAATCTGGATTATATTGTGCGCAAGACCTTCAAGGATTATGTGGCACGCATTGATCCCGGCACCAATCTGGGCCTCAACACCGACTCCATCACATCGTATCATCTGGGCGAGGCGAAGCGCGGACCCGAAATGGGATTCCCCGAGCTGCTGCCCTGCGGCTACATTGTGGGCAACGTGAAGACGTTGTACATATGCCTGCAGGGCGTGGGCAGCTTGGCCTTCGACAGCCTCATTCCGCGCAGCATTGTGCATCGCTACATCAGTCTGCTCACCGAGCATCGACGTCTCATCCTGTGCGGCCCCAGCGGCACAGGCAAATCCTATTTAGCACGGCGGCTCGCCGAGTTTCTGGTTGCACGCGCCGGTCGCGGCAATCCCTCCGAGGCCATAGCCACGTTCAAGTGAGTTACACATATCGGCTTTGTGTGTGTGTTCATTTTGTAAGTGTTCCTTTGTTTTTAGTGTGGACCACAAGACGTCAAAGGATCTGCGACAATATCTGGGCCACATTGCCGAGCAGGCGGCCATTGCCAATGGCGTCTCTGAGCTGCCATCTGTGATCATATTGGACAACTTGCATCATGCCTCCGCTCTGGGCGATGTCTTTTCCTGTCTGCTCAGTGCCGGCCCAGCCACCAAGCTGCCCTGCATCATTGGCACCATGTCTCAAGCCACCTGCAACACGACCAATCTTCAGCTACATCACAATTTCCGATGGGTAAGTGAAACTTTGATGAACTTAAAGTAATTGATTCTTGATTTGGGCAGAAAGCACTTAAAATAACTAATTGTTTTTAATACATTTAACTTGGTTATAGTTTAAATTCAAACATAAATATAGAATATTGAGCTGGGTTAATTAACTTAAATAAATAAATATTACATTTTTTTTGACAGGTGCTCACAGCGAATCACATGGAGCCGGTAAAGGGATTTCTGGGTCGCTTCCTGCGCCGTCGCCAATTCCAGTTGGAGCTGCAGACGCAGCATTCGCAGCCGGAGCTGGCCGCTGTGCTGGCCTGGTTGCCATCTGTGTGGCAGCACATCAATAGCTTTCTGGAGGTGCACAGCTCCAGTGATGTAACAATTGGGCCGCGACTGTTCCTCTCCTGCCCGCTGGACCTGAAGGACTCGCAGGTGTGGTTCACGGACATTTGGAACTACCATCTGTCGCCCTATCTAATCGAGGCGGTGCGCGAGGGCGTACAGCTCTATGGACGGCGTGGCGGAGCCTGGAAAGATCCTTCGGCCTTCATACGCAACTCATATCCGTGGCCCTATGGGCCCGACTCGGTGCCCCCGCTACGTCAGATCAATGCCGAGGATGTGGGCCTCGAGGGCGTGGCCCTCAGCAATGGTGATCAACAGGATCCACTGGTGAGTGTTTCGAGTGCGGACATGCCACTTAAGATGCAACAGCTAATCAAATTTTGAATCCATGCAGCTAAACATGCTGATGCGATTGCAGGAGGCGGCCAACTACTCGGAGACACAGGATCAGGAATCGGATTGCGCCAGCCTCGACTCCAATGTGACGCCAGATAGCTCGGCGGGTGCCGAGTGAAGCGTTCATTCCTAGTTCTTGTTAACTTCTTACATGCCAAATTTGTATTTTTCTGTTATCTATTTTCTTTTTTTCCTCTTTGCTGTTGCGTTGTAAACGAGAGCATCTTTGGGAAATGCCAAACACAAGAAAACAAAATAAAATCACACACAACGTTCACAAATGAAATTTCTTGCACTACTTTCGCGTAATTGTTCAAAAGCAGTTTCAAGAAGTTGCCATTTGCAGCACATCTCTCCGAGTATCACTAGTTTCCTAGTCTCCTACTCATTCCCTCTTTCTCTTCCTCAAAAAATCTGTAAAATTGCACTTTTTAGCGCACTTGTTAAAAATGCAAATTGCCCAAGATCAGTAAGAAACCACGCACTTAATCACTAAAATTCAAAACAAAATCCTGGCGTCCCTTTGCTTGAATTCAACGCAACTTGAGATGGAGAGACATAAACATTAAATGTTTTAAACAAAATGGAAAAAAAACTTTTTTGTATATAAAAACCAAAAATCCCCCAAATTATATTTATAAGTAACCAAACTATACACGGCGGTATCAGCATTTTATACCATGGCAAAAAAATAAAAGAAAAAATAAAAGAAAAGAAACAAAATGAGAAAAACTCTATTGTAAATGTAGCCGTAAGTTTTTGCTACTACCAATTTACAAGATGTACATTTAAAGGAAAAAGCTTTCACTTTAGTTTAATTATTTGCATAATTATCATTAAATATTGTTACAAACATATTGCATATTTATAAATATTTATGTATATTTAAATAATATGTATATTAATATGCCATAAAGCGCTAAGCACAGCAGCAAACAGTAAAATCAGCATAAATAAACAATTGCGACAAATTATATACGTAAATCCCAAATCAACATAACAAATAGTAAAATTAATAATTAACAACACAATAATTCCTAAACTACAAGCGAAAGCAACAAAGTAAAACAAAAAACAAAACCGTAAAAGCAGCAACATCAACATTTAAACTAACAGCTTAATATATATTAAATACAATATTGAAATTATATGTCATGTCTCTGTCTAATTTAAATGTTCATTTAAGAGATCATTTTGAAATCGAAACAAATCAAAATAAAAACATAATATAACATTATTTAAGTCTAACGTTTTTCCTTTTTTTTGGTTGACTTATAAAAATCCTCATTGTGTGACCAAATTCGAATAAACTCAGCACGCGCCATATATCAAATAAGTCACTCATATCTATCGATAGTTTCAGAAGTGCATTTAGGGAATATATCGATATGTGCTGAAAACATATGTTCACAGATGAACGAAACTCGTTCAGTTCAGTGGTTCGCTCAATTGAACTTCTTTCCAACGAATCGATAACCACCCCATCCAGAACAAACCGTGGCCAACATCAGATTTGGTAATTGTGATATAGTTTATACATTAAAGGTTAATATAATATGCATTTTCTGTGAAAACATGGCTTCAAACTCTTTTAAAAACTTGATCTGAGCTCAGTTCAAGCTATTTGCCAAACGCTGTGCCCTTCGGCAAATCGTGTGTTAAAAGTTTTCGATTACACAACAGTTGCCTCAAGGGGCGCATTTTAACCAGGAAAAATGACAAAATTATGCAAATCTAAAAAATAAAATAACTAGCCAAGTAGCTGCAACTATAAATGTAGCTATTGTTCCATTATTAATTACTCATTGAGCAATTCACGTACACCGCTCAAAATGTTACATAACCTTTTTGTGTGCGTCACCCGCACTCTCCTCCCGCTAATCTGAAATGTATGGTAAGAAAAATGAATTGAATTTTATTTGCGCTTCTTGCAGCTCTGAAACTATGGCACTGCGACTAATCAACAACGCTCTGCGCCGCCAGCTGGCCGCTCAGCTGCCCCATAATGCGCAAGTGGGCAGCGTTGCCTCCGTTCACACGCTGGACAAGATTGGCAAGCGCGAAATTGTTGGCTTTGGCTGGAACGGCACCGCTTGCTACGCGGATCGTGCCGATTATCCAATGCCCGCCGTCCGCTTCCGTGAACCGACCAACGAGATCAACGCACTGCGCGCCAAGGAACAAGGCGACTGGAAGAAGCTCAGCCCCCAGGAGATTAAAGCATTGTACAGGGCCAGCTTCTGTCAGACAATTGCCGAGGTGCAGGCGCCCACTGGCGAGTGGAAGATGCACTTGGGCATTGGCCTCATCTTCACAGCTGCCGCCATTTGGGTTGCTGTGCTGATGAATCTGTTCGGTGAGTGCATCTTTATTATATATATTTTATGTAACTGTATAATTGATGCAACAAATTGAAATTTACAGTCTACGATGAGCTGCCCGTCACCTTCGATGAGGAGCACCAGAAGGCGCAGCTGAAGCGCATCATCGATCTGGAGATCAATCCGGTCACAGGTGTGACCTCCCACTGGGACTATGAGAACAAGAAGTGGAAAAACTAAGCTACTAACACACACACTGAGCAGTAATTAAGTGAAAAGTGAGGCGACATCTATGTTTAAGTGGCGATGTATATCCAGCAACCCCAGCAACAGTAGTGGAAATTAAAGTTATGGCCACAGCCAAAGCGATGACTTTATTATTTCTTTCAATGTCCCCCCAGGGTACGAATTGAAGTCCGCTCACTCCATCAATGACCTTGACTTGGTGACATGCAAATAATCCTGGTACCTTTCGAGTTAACAAGGATGTTGCGTTTTCGGTTCACTCATCTACTGAATTTGATGTTTGTTTAAATCTGTAAGAAATTGACCGAGCTATAGCCTTTTTTTAAGCACATCCGTTATTTTGACTACAAACAACCAATAGTCCTTATTCAATAGCAATAATAAGTATGAAAGCTTTAAAATAGAAAATTGCTTATATCTCCGGCGAATACTTGCATCCTTCTAGTGGTTTTCGAGAAAACAAGTATTTTGCGATTTCACCTCAGTTTTCTTGGCTCGATTTTCACAAGATGATTTTCAGATGATCTAATATCCTTGAAGGCAGTTCGTTAGAGGTTACCTTGTCCTTCGAAAATCGGCAAGGATTTGGCGGATCAAGAGGACTTTTTGTGATTGTTCGTTTTACTGTGTGCCCCTAAAAGTATGCCACGAATTGTTGCGTCAAAACAATTTAGCCAATACAGAAACCTAATTGGTGTGTTTAAATCGTTCGGTAAGCAAAGCCTCGCTGTATGCGACATAAAGCGCCACCTGTAGGAAATAAGCTAGTCGCTGGAGTAAGCAAAATGAAACGAACAATTTAATAGAAACAAATGATTAATTCATATGAGAAGTCATTGTATTTTCTATTGATGAATTTTCATTCTTTTCCTACTTGTTTTTTTTTTTAATTTATAATGGAGCGTGAAAATGCATGCGATGCGTTCTAGCCTCCGTTGACCTTGTTAATTAATCAGTTTTTATTCATTTTGCTTGCTTTTATGATGCTTAACCTAATCAAGCTGACATTCCTACACTATGAAATTGTGGGCGTTCCCTCAAAACTTCTCTTTGCCAGCGTCGGTAGGCATAATGTCATTATTTTAACTCACTCCCTTAACGCTGGCTGCTGCTTTTATGCTTTTATGAATATGAATAAGAAGTGGCCACTAATTGCATTTGTTTTGGCCCCAGAGCGTCTAATCAATTGCACATATACAGGGTATAGTTGTGTTTTCTCTTATTAAATGGAACTATAATCGATAATGATCAAAGCAACCAGAGGATTACAAGTGCCACAAGTAACACGAGCAGGGTAAGCTAAAATGAACGAAACCATTAAAATACTTTTGAATGCGATTTATTGTTGTCAGTAAAACTTAGAAACTATACCAACGTGATTCTGGCCATAAAAAAAATTGATTGAAAAATAAAAGCATCAAATATCGCCGGGCTTTCCCCATTTTACAGCGTGGCACGAATTGCACTTGAAATTTATTGGCAGCTGGTTGGCAAATTTATAACGAGCAGAGCAAATGTGACAAGCCGTCTTCCCATTTGACATAATTCTGAATGCAGCTGGGGAAATTCTCAGCTCTCGACTGCCCAAACTAACACATAATCTTTGGTCGGGTTTTACTCTCTTCTATGGCAGCATCGAAAAGTTCATGATTAATCGCTAATAATCTCTAATTGTAGGTTGAGTAGTTGTTGGGGAACTATAAAAGCGACCGCTTACTCATTTCTAGCCAACAGTTTGCACAGGTCACTTGCAGGTTTCAGTTGCTGTTGCAGTTGCTTTTAAAATCATTATGTACTATATAAAGTTATTGCTAATCAGCCAGGTAAGCAATGATTTTATTTATATGTAAATGCTGCTGATCGCAGCTTTTAACCACATAAATTCCCATTTAGCTTGTGGCGCTTAGCTGTACTCATGTCTGGACCCATTCGCACGATTACATTGACGACGAGTCACTGGAGGATGTGCATCAGCCACCCGCAACAACAACAACGCTGCCTCGGATTGAGCCGGAGAATGCAGCAACCGCACAGCCCGACCTTGGACTTGAACAACTGGATGATGCAGTGGCGGTGCTGAACAAGGGAACTTCTTTGCCGGAAACTACAGTTCAACCGACAACGCTGCCAACGCCACCAACGCCACCAACAACAACAACAACAACAACAAAAAAGCCGACTGAAGAGCCACTCAAACCTAAAGCGCATCAACCACTTCCTCATCCACATCCTCATCCGTATCCTCATCCCTATCCATATTCACAAACGGGCCCGCATCACGGCCCATATCCGTATCCTTATCCTCAAGCTGGCCCCGTCACAAAAGGCATACCAGAGAGTGCAAACGAAGCTGGCTATCCCGGCTATCACGGCCATCCTTATGCATCGTATCCGATCCCGCGACGAGTCTACTCTTCCTACGGCCCACCCCCGGCTTTCGCACCCCATGCGTATCCACCCCGATTCCCGGGCTATGCACCTGGCCCTGTCGACAGCTCGGAGAAGCCCAAGCCGGATATAGATGATGATGCGACGACTGACGAGAGCATGATGAAACCCACTGAGGAGAGCCCCAAACTGCCTGAACAACCACACTTTGGCTATCCACCCGTCTATGTGATCCAGCGTCGTCCTCAGCTGCCAAGTTATCCATATGCCAGTCCTTCCCGTGGCTATGGCTCTCCCTATGGCTATGGCCGCTAGTGAGTACAGTAGTCGCTAGCAAATACTTATAGAAATTACTCACAAATAAATGAATGTAAATCATTAAAAGTTATTGACAGCTGTGAATTGTAAGCATTTTTAGCCAGCCTATGTACAACTTATGACTACAAGCTTGATTAAAATCAATCGTGTATATAAAAATAAAGATGCATATTAAAATGAAATCAAGAAAGAACGACTTTTTTATTAACGTTGAAGATTAAATACCCTTGCAGGCCGCAGTACACAGGCCGACATCTAAATTGCACCATACATTTTTTAAAAAAATCAGCTTATTGATGTATATATGTTAGTCCGATACGGAAGCATATTTAAATTTTTTGTGGACAAACTAATTTGTCATCCGATCATTTTTGTGGCAGCTTTATTGATTCTATCCGATCGACTACGAGATGTAGATACAGTTTCAGTTTGATCAGGAGAGCTTCAAAACTAAGGGGCTAACAGAGGAACGGTCTGTCGAAGAAGGCTGTACTCAGCTAGGGATGGTGTTCAAGCATATGTATACTTTATAAGGTTGGGGTTGTCTCCTTCAGTGCTTGACGTCAACATGACAATACCCTCTGCAAGAGTATATATATACGGCGGTATGTGTGCGTGAATAATCATAATTCATTGATTGCTAAGTCGTGGTCATAATGGTGTTTTCCCGCCAGCTTTGCCGATAGCCCCGAGCACTGATAGTATATTTATTTATTTCCAGTTTGACGGGTTACTCGTCATTGCAATTGCAAATGCTAATCGTCTAGGTTTCGAGATTGTCATTCTGCTGGGAGCAGCGAAACAGAGCGAAACTGTGTCGGAAATGTCGCCTCACTCGTGTCATGTGCAAATTGTGGCAAGTCTGAGCCTACTGCTCATGGGGCTGGGGGTAAGTACAAGCAAAGACTATGGAGATACATATATTTGTGGCATGTATATTCTACTAACTAAACTGAAATGAAATCTTTACAGGTTTGCCACAGTGCCACATTGCAGCGGGTAAGCGGATTTTATATACTTATAATAATAAATTGAATATGTTTTACAATATGCTAATTCTGTTAATTCTTTTTTGTTAGTTACGCATTCAGCGGGACACACGCAACATTCCCTCGAATATGTTTAAGCCTATAGAAACTGCGACACAAACTTCTGCTCAGAATTACCCAGAAACTACGAGCGACTTTGCACTCTCTCAGGTGTGTTCTATATATAATACAAGTATATATATGCATACTTTAGCCTATATGTGGTTTTTACAGCACTCGACCGCCAACTCTTCACGCCATTCGGGTGAGGACTATGACTCTGATAGATATGGCAGCTCGATTCCAGTCGATTCGAGAATACCCGATCGGTTTAGAGGTCCTACAAGTCATTCATTCCACGCAGGCTTCCGTTCGGTAAGCAATCTTCATTTAAATACAAGGTGAATTATTACAATCTTGAACATTTTACAGACGAATTACAATGATATATATAATGATGATCCGTCGGACTTTCGTCGTGGTAATATCAGACCGCCTACATTCTCTCGTTCTTCGGGCTTCCCTGACAGAGGATTCAATGGACCAGACTATTCGTCAATACCCTTGAGCATTCAGACGGTATGTATTTGCAATGCATTCTCTCAAATGTACATAGACATTGATGTGGTGCCCTTTTTTACCTTTGTAGAGACCTCCCAGCAGCGATTTTCCGGAACATTTTCCCAGATTTAGTGGACCCGGTGGCTCCTCCAATCATAACTTCTATCGTTCTGAATCGTATAGCTACAGTTCAGATGGCATGGGAGCCCCCCACATTCAGCGAAGTGTGTTCGACTCTCGCTTGGGACCTGGCATAAATACTGCAGTTTTTTAGAACTTACAACTTCCTAGACCATTGGTGAGCATAGCAGAAATTAACGCTGAATATGTTCAATTCTACTTTGTAAATAGATTAGCTGATAGATTTAGCTGTTATTGTTAGCTTGCATTTTTCCCATTTCTGTAATTATTGACGCCGTAGTTCAGTCTGGAAAAAATAAGCTATGCGTCTGACCAGGAAATAGTTCAGCATATATGGTATATATGGTATATATATATATAGGATATGTTTACAAATTGCATTTAAAATGTTTTTCAATATATTTGTATGTTAATAAACTGTAATTATTGAATACCTACATGCTGATGGCATTATACAATCTAACAATCAAAGTTTTCGAAGAGGTCGTCCAACATAAATAATTTCTTCTCAATATCGGTTTCATTTTGGAATTTAATAAACCACGTTGTCATTTTCGAGTCACGGAATCCCTTCTCCCTCATCAGATAGGACTCGATGTGGGATTCAGTTCTCTTCATAAAGATGGCCAACTTCTTCTCCAAATTTTGCTCAAACATATCGAAGCCGAGTTGACGCAACAACTTTGTGATCAGATCCTCATCCATTTCATCTGTCTCCTCAGCGCTAAAGTCGCCCAGGACCAGCAGATCCTCTAGCTCATATAACAAGTCCTCCAATTCTTCGGAATCATCGGCGTTCTTTGAGTTTTCAATGAATTTGGCTAACTTATCCATTGCAGCTCGATCTGCAGTGTTTGGTCCGAGGAGTTCGGCTTCTTTCAAAAGGCGCTGCAACAGTTGAACGCCTTCCTGAATTGCTTGCCGAGAAAATGTTTTGATCTCTTGAGCCAGAACTGCTTCAAGCTTATCGCAGGACGCAATAGGATTGGCAAACTGGATAAAATATCATAGATTTATTATTAAAGATATTACTTGGATATGCCCCGCAATTTTCAAGAATTAATGAACAAGATTTATCAAGAGTTTCTCTCACCAAGGATAGCCCTTATTCGGTGATTTCGATATATCTTAATCTTTAAAAATGAAAATGAATCCGATTAGACAAAAACTACATCCATACACCTCTAACATTTCTTTGAATATCGCCAGTCAGTTAACTATCCAGTTAGTAACTATCCAGTTGGCTTACCGTTGAGGGCAGCAGGGCAGCAAGAAGAATCACAAAGCGAAACATAGTTGCAACCAGTTGAAAGATCTTTATGAGACTGTATTACTCAATCCCAGCTGCGCCTGCCTCTTATAAGCTACTCGGGTTGCCAGAAACAATGAGAGATCGCTGAGAACTGGTAGTTGGCAGTCTATAATCAGTGCATTGAGTTCCCTTGGCGTGATAAGAACGTTCAATTTAAATGTTAAGAGCTCGACTGATCATTTTACTGCTGCTGCTGCTGCTGCTGCAGTTGGGCGTAGGTTACATGAAACGATTACAAGATAATTTAACAATATTCAAGCTTTATAATAGATGACAGGTGCGCCTCCCGCTGGGGAGAGCTTGCGAGAGTTGCGTAAGCTGCTGAGACAACAGCAACAACAGCAACAGCAGCAACAACAGGATGAGCAGCAGCTGCAAGTGCGGAAATTCAACGAGGATATCAATTTGTGGGCGCAGTCATTGGAGCAAATGGGTCTCAGCTTTGTATCATTCGTGGAGCAGTGTCGCCCACTCGGCACTCGGTGCACCCAGCGAACAGTGCAGCGTCATCTGCGAACACTAAGACGCAGCTACAGCGATCTCCACGCTCAGCTTGAAATCTTGGAGATCAGCTACGTGGGCAAGATTAGCGAGGAGGAGATATTGACGCCCACATTGCGAGCCGTGCGGGGAGTGCTGCAGCAATACGATCGCATGCTGAGACTGATAAATGTTGAAGCATATAAATTAGTCGAACAATAGCAATGTTATCTTATAAAATACTACAGATAAATGATTTAAGCACAACCAAACACTGAAGAGATAGAGCGGTATATCTCTAGACTATTTGGTATATCATCAATTTTGAGAAATAATTTGTTAGCTTTTAGAATAAATATCTCAATTTTATTTATTTATTTCTATCTAATTCTTAGAAATTCTTGCTGTTAATAAAAACTGCAAGAAAGTTCCTTTCCGAAAATCAGAAAAAATATAAAGTTTTGGGCACTTTTGAATTTAATTTCTGCAGTTATGAGATTATTTGTATACTTTAGTAGAAAACTGCCAATTTACATTTGAAGAACTAAGGCCAAATGCAAAATGACTAGTTGATAACTTTAGGCAGACTGAAACACAAAAACAATTGAATAACTTACTTAATATTAAAAGCATTCATATATTTGTGAGTGACTGAACAATGCCATCGACTAAACTTTTTGCCTGCTTCATGTAGTCCATTAATTGCAGTTCGGGCACCTGATCTTGAAGTCTTTGTGGGAACCCCAAATAGGAAATCACAAGAGTGTCTTCAGTTTCAGTTTGCCACCGCGTCACATTGGTCATTAGTTCGAATTTGTTTTGATGAGTGGATGCCAAATAATTTAACAATTCTATCTTAACTTTGGAGAAAAAATTGCGTATGGAGATCTTCTCGTATGGCAACACTTCCAGTAGTAGTTTGTCGGATTCACGCTGATTGAACAAGGAACGATTGATTAGGGCAAATATAAAGTAGGCGGTGCTGTAGTAGTTCTCAGTGCCCACGATTGTATCCAGCTCATGAAAGTACTGCTTATCGATGGCATTGCTGTCATTCAAATGATATAATCGCTCTCGAGCATTTTGAAGACTGGATTGCAGGACCTCATTGTAGAGCTGTTCAATGTCCTTTGCGGTCTGCCTCGCATCTCCTTGACACTGTGAATAATGTATTTCATTTAGTTAAGGTTGACCTTGGCAACCTTGCAACTTTACTCAGCCCACCAGAGAGATAAGACCACTGCTGATAAGCAGAGCAAACCACAGAGAAAATGACATGCTGCCGTTCACGATCAATGTTGATTAGTGACTGTTTAGCATTGTGAATTCGGCTTGGATGAATGATGAGCAGTCACAGTTCCCGCTGATAACTCAAATGCTGTGTGTGTGTTAGATAAGTTTAGCTTTTATTAAGCACTTCAGCAAAGCCAGAAATCAAAAGTATATGGTTTACATATTGATTCAAATTTTTGTAAAATGAGCACAAATTTCAAAAGTATTTTTCATTTAAGTTACTTATCATAAATAGATAATTAGTTATGTAAGCTAACTAGGTAAAGAATTGAGAGCAGCTAATTGCCATATTTTGTATAATATATATATATATTACAATTGGTACGAATACATATATTTACATATATTATAAATAAAATGAATAAATGGATTATTATAATTGTTACTTATAGTCTACTTTACATTTGTTAGCACAGAATTGGAGAGTATTTGTTGTACTAACATATCATGTTTAATATTACAATCCCTCTTGGGACCTTACTTTTCAGCAATATTTCAAATTTAATTTGAAAAAGAAATAAGTAACAAAGTGAACAACCTCACATTCAAAACTTTGAATGATATAAAAGGTGTTTTACATTGTTTTTCAGAAGTCAAATGCAAAATGAAACTTATTCAATATGCCTCACATAATGCAATTTTACTGAGGTCTGAGTTCTGAGTTCTTTGGCATGTAAATAGGTGAAGTCATTTTAAATACGAAACTTATGCCGATCCTATGACTAAGTGTTCAACTAGATACATGCATATTTTATCTAACATTTACAATGTATATGTAAACATTTAGTTTATATTCAGAATAACACGCTTTGTATCTGAGTACTTCAAATATATTCGAAATGCTTTTTGTACTCGTATTGACAAACTTATTTGAACTCGAGCGATAAATTGACAAGGGAATTGATTTGATTGCTTAATTCAACTTATAACTGACATTGAAATTACGTATTTGAAATTTTCAATATTGTACGATATTCTATTTAGGCGAAAATGAAACGTTATTTGCTGTGGGACTATCTTAGGTACAACAACAATGTTTAGGTACTTGGATACGTTTTTGAAACTTGAGTGATATTTTTCGGATAAGCACATATGTACATATCATTGTACATACATATATCATTTATCTGTGTATATAGAACTATTTCAATATTGACATCGGTTGAGCATTGTACTTTGAGTTGATTTAGTTGCGAGTTAGTTGCGAAGCAGCCATTGTTGTAGATATATTTAAGGCTGTTACATATATGCAATACTTAACTTACATTTACCATATAATACATACACATACATAGATATATATTTATATATTGTTATGCATATGTATATATACTTAAATATTCTTAATATCTGCAAGGTACACATGACGTTTCAACTTGTCGGAGCGCAGGGCTCCAAAGTTAATAACAATTTCAAAAATAGTTTAAAAAATTCAAAGAAAATAAACTCTCAGTTACTTGGTTAGTTCGGCTTACGCTAATCAACATTAATTATTTATATGAGTTTATTTTTTTTTTTTTTTATAATATAAACGATTTTGTTTTTTATTTTGTAAAAATATTTAGCTGCAAATTTAAGTAAGAAAATATATGTTATATATATTTTACTCGATTAGTTACACGTACAGCTTTCTTGCACTTAAATTCTGTTATCTAGAAGACAGTCCATGGAGTAGAGCTTATAACTAATTACATTTTAGTTCAAGAGAAAAGAAATAGCTGTAGCCATGCCAAACTATGAAATTAGATCGTTTAGAAAATTATATTGGAACTACAAGCCCTTATTATCTATGTTAGAAACACTTATTAGTAAATTTGGAGTTTTGCCTATTGTAACTATTAATTTAATATAAGTAGTAATTAATATAAGTCGGTAATTTCGATTTAGAAAAACATATGACTAAAGTATATACAAAGCTTAACAATTTGTGGTTGTACATTTTCTAACCTACTTAATTAATTAGTTTTCACCCAGATACTTCATCTTGTGTATATTTTAATACCCACCTCTTTGAACATGTCGTCGTCTCATATTGTCCCATTTCGATTTGTAGTTGTCATATATGAAATTTTTCATACGCTTCTCGTGGAGTCAGTTCATAGGAAAATAATAAGCAGTGTATTTTGTAATGTGTATTTATTCATGTGAAATAATATTATAGTAAAAGTCAATTTGAAATGCAGTTCCTTTCATTAAAGTAATGTAACTCTAAGTGTCAACATAAAACTAAACTAAATTAAATGCCAAGTCAAAGGACTTGGCTTAGGAAAATCAGTAGAGGAAACAAATGTTACAAAAGAGCAAAGGCGAAAGCGAGGGAGAGAGAGGGAGAAAGGGAGAACTTGTGAGCGAGAGAACAATTTTACTTTTTATCACAATTGCGTATGAAAAATTTCTTTAATTGCTAGAAGCCACCACGCCCAGTGGCAACGCCGCCGCCGCCGCCGCCGCCGCCACTGGAACTGCCCGCCCCGCCAGCACCCAGCACCGATTGCGGCACCAATATTCGTGGCAGCGTCAGCGAACGCTTGGGTGCACTGTGCCGTGGCAGCGACTGCATCTGTTCCGCCGTTGAACTCGAACTGGAGCCGGACGGAGCCGGAGCAGCCTCGGCAGCTGCCTGCTGATCCATGTGTCACGCATACGATTGCGCCGTCTGGGGCATCATGCCGGCTGTGTAGCCGGGGTCGAGTCCGGGACGCTCCACCAGATTCTTGAGGCGGCCGCGCAATTCCTCGAGACTCTTCGACTTGGCCTTGTTGATGCGTTTGTACTTGACATCCTTGGGCTTCGTCACCGAGCGATGATTGGACATGACCCGATTGTAGGTGGTCACCTGCGACTTGCCATTGAGCTGGTCCAGTTGCGGCACCTTCACGCTCAGCGTCGTACACGGCGAATCGTGGCTGGGCGATCGCTTCAGTGCACCCAGCTGGCGACGTGGCACCGGCATCGCCATCACTGGCGATATGGATGATGAGTCTTTGGCTTCCGGCGCTGCTGGCGCATCGATCTGACCTTCCGTGGAACTCGAGCTGAGCGCCTTCTCCGAACGATTCTTAAACTTGTCTCGCTTCTCCGCCACATCCGGAGTGGGTTCCGGATCCTCCTCAACAGAATAGACCGTCTCCAGTATGTCGGGGCGTCGCAGAAAGCAATTGTTGCGCCTCGCGGCACCATATTTATTCAGATTCGTCTCAATGGCATCCGATATGGAGCGCACAATGGTGATGCCGTCGCTACCCAGAACACCAGCCAAACCACCTGCTCCACCGCCGCTGCTCTTGCGACGCGTACCCAGCGTCATCATGTTGCTGTCCGAATCAATGTCCTCCAGCACCACAGCCGAGTCGGAGTCATTAAGCGAGTCCAGCTCATTGGCATAGCTCGCCTCAATGCTCTCCAGCCCATGATCCACCAGGCGTGTGGACAGCGTATCGATGATCTTCTGCTGCCGCTGTATGGTCATCTCCCGGTGGCTCAGCAGGCTCGCAATCTGTTTCTGCTTGCGCTTCAATCGCGACTCCAACAGTAGCAGCTGCGAGGTCAGCGAGTTCATCTGATCCGATTTCTCCTTCTGATAGCGATAGTGTTGCTGCACCTATTAACAGAGTAAGTGGATGAGAGAGTGCGATTAGAGGAGGATTCGATACGGCCTACAAGGACTATACAGTTGTCACTGGCGAGAAGAGAAACCAGTCTGTTCTGATTCGTAAATAATTATAATTTCTAATAGATCTATTTTTATATACTGTTTTTTAAACAATAAAACAAATATGAACAGAAATATTTATATTTTCGAACTTTAATGCATTTCAAAATGTTCTCATCTGCGAGGAATCACTGTACAGTTGTCTAGTAATTACGCAACCCACCTGCATAGCGTAGGCCTTGCGCCACTTCATAATGTGCTCGGTTTGGAAGCGAACCTTGGAGCGCAACTCCTCGATGATGGCGCGTGCTGTGTGCAAATCCTTGGGGTCCTGGTTCATCATGTTCAGGCGCAAGTTGCTGGTGTGACTGGAAACGGGCAATGGCGGCGGCCATTGGAATTCCAGTGGTGGCTGATGCACGTCCGTTGGCAGCGAGCCCCTTGGTTGGGCTGACTTGTTCACCTTGGGCGTGGAAGGCACAGTGCCGGCACCGCTGGCACCACTTCCAACACCAACACCAACACCACCACCACCGCCAACATCACTTCTGACTCTGGCTCCGATACCAGTGGCCGTTGTCATTGTCATGGTTGCCGTTGGTGTTGCCTGTGAGGTTTGCTTCTGTATGCTGCACGCCATGCTGCCGATGCCTTTGGCAAATTGCGAGCTGCGACTCGCATACATTTGGCTCCGAGTGGCCGGGAGAGTTGGGAGATTTGGGGCTCGCCTGGGGATGAGTGGGGGCGTTCTGCTATCCGCTAGACGGCCAGCATTCGCGCCACCCGCTGCACCTTGATGAATGTCCCCCTGCTGCTGCTTTTGGCTGTGTGCTGCGAAAGCTGCTGAAATGCACAAAGAACATCACGAGTTTTTTATTAATGCCAAATATTTGTTGCGGAATATTTGATTGTGGCTGGCACTGTAAACAGCATGCGGCTTTCAGTGCTGTGCTGTGCTGTGCTGGATTTAGTGTTGGACAAGTGATGGGGTTGACAGTTTTGATTGATGTGCAGCAAAGCTTTGTCAAAACAAGTCGAAAACTGCTGGCTATAACAGAACAGTATAAAAAAGTTGTGAAATCTGGATGATATTTGTGGAAGTGGAAGTGTACAATAGTGGCAGCAATATTTTGTGGTTATATTTTAATAAAATTCATCAATTGTCCACCAAATTCATTTTAATGACTTTTTGAACTATGAGTAAAACATAAAGGGAACAAAATATATTTCATGGGACTAGCTTTAAAGAAGTGGATAAATTAGATTTAGAAAAGAACAAACAATGTTACAATTTTCAGTTAGTAAAACAGAATATTAAAATTTCAAGCCCCCAAACACAGTTGCATCGTATATTTTGCGCTTTTGTCACTGGCATAGTTTTGAAATCACAGTCTGTGATCTCATGAGTGCTGCCTCTAGGTGGTAAGTGGCAAGTGGATTGCCTGCTCGCATATCTGCATATGGGCTGCGCAGTTGGGCCTGCACATTTGTCAAATAGCCGCAAAAACGAACTGGGGGCACGCCCGCAAGTTGCGCCCCAGGCCAGAGCCACACCTTAAACCTTGGTCAGGACGGCGAATGAATGAGGTGGTAAAAAGAAATGTCGGCCATGTTGGCTGTAATTATATGTGTGAGCCGCATTAAATATTTGGCAGAACAGAAATATTACGCATACGCCACCGTGTTCGCCAGCTGTTATGGAAATTAGCAGCAAAATGAATATTATGCTAAACAGGCGCAACATCAGCAAGAATGATTATTATACAATGCATAAATTAGTTTCGCATTAATATGTCATTCAGCACATTTAATGCAAGCTTTTCCCATTCAGTGCGCCGCTTTAAACAACCACAATAATAATTATAATTATTAATTTATGTGCATTTTGATTTAATTAGTACGGTGGTTCGGTTCACCGCAAGGCTTTTTGCCTTCAACACTTTAAGGCAAAAATGAATCGGCTTGCAACCTGCTTAACTGTTGGCCGGGCAACGTCTAGTTTTGGTCCACGCCTGATAAGAAGCCTCATCATTATTTTACGGCACTCTACTGCGCTCAGTTATGAGTTTATTATTGCTTTTCTGTCTGCCTGATTAACAGATTAGGTCAGGTGTGTGTGTCTTCCCATTAAGAAAATAGCTCTGGCTCAACTGTGCCATGAGCAAGCTAATTAAGAAACTGAGTGAACACTTTATGAAACAATTTATGGAAATTGAATTCAATTTATGTGAAATCTCAATCTAAAAAATGGTAACTGACTTCCAAATCGATTTTGTAAAATATCGGTTCATGGCAGAATTTGACTTGGTTTTCCTATCACGAATTTTGATAGGCAATAGCAAATGAAAATTAATTCAGATTTCACAAAGTTATTCGGGGTGGCAAGAAGAGAAATTGGCTCAATAAAATTTGCTGGCAACTCTATTAAGGCAATTTTGTTGGGCGTCAAACAACCTGTTGGTCAGGCAATAAATCCAAGTTCCCAATTCGGTTGAGCAGCTGCCATAAAATAGAGGGGACAAGCCCTAAGCACCACCACAGGCCACTGAGGTTATTCGGTTGTGAGCAATGCCATTAACAGCTAATAGGCACGTGAGCGGCATTATTTTCTCAGGCAGGCATTTCCCAGGCTGAGCTCTACGAGGAGAAGGCAATTGTCATAATTAAAAATGATGAATGAGTTGCCAATTGTGCAAAAGAATCTGAAGATGCCGATGGATTGGACTATGATCGGTGCAGGCTCACTCAGCAATTTTCATTTGATGAGACAGCCGGACAGTCAAATTGCCAGACAGCCACACAGCCAGACAGCCAGACAGGTAGTCAGAGCCCGAGGAACAGCCAATTGCAACTGCAAGCCCAGGCAACCCGGCAACCCGGCAACCAGGAAAAGAAATCGTGCGTGTTCTCTGGTCATGGGCAGAACATATTTGTTAATTGTTTGCAATTGCATGTTCCCCACTTTGGCTGCATTCCAGTTGCCAGTTGCCAGTTGCCAGTTGCCAGTTGCCTCACTCTCGCATTTTTTGCTGTCATTATTGCTGCCAGTGGAAACGGAAGTTCTTAAGTCATTCTTCCTCTGCGTTGTCTGTCTCTGTCTCTGTCTCTGTCCCTGTTTCGGCGTTCTGCTTTCTTCTGCTGATGAATTGCACAAATGAAGTCTCAAAGTTATTTTAAATGAAAATGCTAAAAATGTTTCGTGCTCTTCTTTCGTTGTTTCTACTCAACTTCTTGGCTTTTGTTGCCCGGCTTAAGCTGCTTTGTCCATTTAGTCTCAGCATATTTTAAATTGCCATTTCAATTGAATTTGTGCTGCCAAACAAATGACGAGTTGCAGCCGAACAATTAAACTTTATAAAGAGCATAAGAAAGTTGTCTTTAAATCGAGTACTTTGATGAACGAAGAGTATTATCTATTCAAGTAATTTAAGTAATATTTCTTTTCGCTGATTCAATTGTCGTGCAATTTTATTGTCAAAATAAATCCTGAAAGCAATCATGCCTAAAGCTTATAATTTAAGTTTAATTGATAATCTTAAGTTGCATACAAAAAATGGACACATTATTTCTCAATATTTTACAATCGTCGTTTACCACTTGAAAATTACTGTAGACTTCAGTTTTCAGTACGTTTTTGACTTCTCCTATTCGACTTATTCGATGGTATTTAGTGTTTATTACTTACTCATCGCTTGGAAGTGCGTATAAGTCCTTATATAGGTTTAAGCTCCTGTCGGTCGCGTAATTAGAGGCAAGACTAACCTGCAGACGCAGGATTAGGAGCGAGACTTTTGGCATGTAAGTACCTGCCTTTTAGTGTTCTAGTTGAAGGCAATCACGAGACTTTCAATCTGTAATTACGGTAAAACAGTGGCCTGAACAGCGCTCAACCGCTACGCTGCTGCAGCAGCTCGTATATGTATGTGTACTCGACGTAATCACACTTAATACTTGACATTAATTAAACTGTTCCGGGGTTTGGACTTCTGCGCTGTTGCATTTGAAGGATGTACGCATGTGTATTTGTGTGTTTGTGTGTCGGCTTTTGCATTTAATGAAGCCCAAGGATGTCAAAGTTAAATGACTGCGCTTTCACGTTGCCAGCCCCAGTGAGCGAGTGTCTGGGTGTTTGTGAGCTTATTTGCTTGTTTGTTTGGGTGAGTGTGAGTGCGGCTGAATGTGAATTAAAGTTGTTGCCAAGTGGCTGGGCAATCAATTTGGCGTTAACAGCTTGCCAGACTGTGTAGCGGCCGCTAAGCTGTTGCTGTTAATAGCGTTTTAATTCAATTTTAATAACAATGCCAGCACACAGCAAGAACAACAATAAAGTATTAACAAGAAGAGCAACAGGCACACAATTGGGCCACTGGCCATTTTAATTAAATTATGCACAACGAGCATCCTAATGATATAATCTAATGCATGACAACAAAGACCACGCCTCAAAACCAACAAGAACGAGAACAAGAACAAGAACAATAACAACTAAAAACGACAACAATTGTCGCTCTCCAGTGTTGTCCACTCAATGAGCATAAAATGAGCAGCTCTTTTACTGTCTTTTGGCCGGCTTCCCATTCCTTTATATTTTCCCTGCAGCTGGTTGCGGTTCATAATTAGCATTGTTTTCTCCCCCACTGCCCATTGGGGATTCTCCCTCGAAAGAGCTGAAACTCAAGCTGAGTGGACAAATTTGAGGATGTGTGCTTATATTATATAATAATATATATATAATATATAATAATATTTGTTTTTTAAATTTTAACATGATGATCTGAGCAATCTGATTACCGATTATTGTTATTTAGAATGGTGACAAATTATATAAGGATAATCAGCAAGTGATTAATTATTAAAGTATTTAAAATTTAGTAATTGTAAAATATGCACTGTACAAAACTTTTTCTACTATAAAATAAAAATGTTTGAATTATTTGATTGTATATTTAATATAAATTAGTCTAAATTAAAAAAAAGTCTTAGAGCATGAATATTTGAAATTACACACACAAACTTGTATACATAATAATATGGTGTATAATAAAAAAAAAAATATAAATTTAAAAGGAAGTACTCAAATTAAAAACTTCAAATGGAAAAAATTAATGCAAGGATTTCATAAGTCTAGAGTTTTTAAATTGTCAAACTGCTTTACAAGAAATGGTGCGAAAACCTATCCAAATCCAATCAGACTAAAAATTGTACAAAAAAAATTATAGGAAAGTAAAAGACTAAGAAAGAACCCAAAAAGACTTGTATCTGTTTACCCTGAACAAATTTTAATAATAAATAAAGCAGTTTTTATAAAATTCCAAACAAAAATCCATAAATCAGTATTTATATAGGTTTGTGGGTTTTATTATTAAAAGTGCTAATCACAACGAAAGATTCTGCTGTTGCACTATTTTTGCCCACAATATATGACTACAAATCGAGTTCGATATTTAACATGAGTCACCCAAGATTTTTGCAAGTCCTTAGGAGAATTTCGATTATAAGACTCATTTGCAAGAGGGCAAATTTGTTGTTGATGCCACAAGCGTATCAAGCAGTGGTATCAAATCAAATTTGGCTACTCACGCATAATTTCAGCAACAGACAAACCCACATATAAATATGCATATACATATTTATGCATACAAAGGAGCAACTACTATATATCAAGTCACAAATGAGATCAGCAGAATTGATATGCGATTTGAGATGTAAGATGCGAAATATTTGCAAGAAACCCAATAAATTATTCAAAATTCCGGTTGCTTGAGGGGTCCACCTCTGTCTAATATAAAACAAATTCCGACGAACTTCGGATTCAAAAGAATCTGTTGCCGCGTACAAAATAT